GTTTTGGGTTTGATAAATTCAAAATACAGTGATGATGCAATGTTTGTGAAATCCATGTCAGTTATTCATGTTTGGCGCAGAACACCGTGACATGGGCCAACACAACCAAGCAACCTCATTCTCTCAGCCTGGGGAATTCAATGAGGATCTATTTTCTAGTTTGCAAAGCTTTATTATCATTATTCATATTATTTGCAACTATATCCAGATTTACAGACTGTGCAACAATATTAAATATAATGTATGTTAAAAATCACATCTACATTTTATATTTATTGTGACAAAGTCTGTACATTGTACCTTTCACTGTGTGGTTCATGAAGGCCATCTATATGATCACTTTTATTATCCATTAGTTGTATATATTTGCAGACATTGTGACATGTACTAATAGTAAACAATGACTCCGCTCACATAATGTGCTGCTGTATTTATGTGTCATCAGTTTGGTTGCCAACGCACAAATGAATAATTGAGTATTTAGTTGCGAGTCCTTGATGTTTTCCTGCAAGACGCATTGACAAAATACATATATACGATCCTGTTTGTAACATAACTTTATACAGTCTAGAAGATACAAAATACAGTATTGTACAATGGCCTTGCAAAGTGAAATTTCCACTTTAAAGACTCCATATGACACTATTTTCTGATGCTATAATGCCATTTCCTCATCACAAACATACTTGTATACGTGTATATTTAGGCTTTAGAGTTCTCAAACTGAAAGCATGTGATGGAAATTTATATTTTGGAAAGATTTCTCTCGATCTGTCTTTGTGTAAATGAATGTGATTTGTACCTGAGACCAGACCAGTCACTAACATGTGTAAAGACTCAGCAAACACAACCGTGTCCACCATCAGGAAACTGTGTGTAGTCTTAGGGCCAATCCCATTTCTAATTCCTACCCCTTCTCCTTCTTCCTAACTTCTTTGGTCTCTGAGGTCGCGGTAGCAGCCATCTTGCCGGTGATTCACAAAGCGTTCTTGAAGGGGTATATAGACCTACCACTTTCCCCTACCCCTTTGCCATAATGGTAACTGGGACAACCCTACCCTGACATCTGAACACACAGAACGGAGGGGTAAGGGAAAGTAGTACGGCCGAGGGGTGTAATGGGATTCAGCCTTAGATGTCCTCAAAGGTATGTTAAGTTGATTAGCACTTAACATAACAGTCTGTGAAACAAAAGTCACTCTGCTTTGATATTTATGTCACTAACTTGCGTTTCTGTGTCAATACTCAAAGCTCAAATGCTCCAGGGCAGAGACTCGGAGCTGAGATGCTCTGAGGAGATGGGGGCTAATGTGGTAGGGACATACTGCTGGTGAGGAGAGGATGTTGGTCTCTGGTCAGGGCAGGCTCTAACAAGAATAAACCTTTGTCTGTATTCCAAAAACGGACTTCGCAAATGGATTAATTATTTACCATCAAGAAATATATACATTTTTCCACAACACTAATACAGGAAATGCTCCCTGTATTTCTGTAACTCCATACACCTTCACTAGAATCATTTGGATAATTGCCGGTCTCTGCTGAACAAAAAGAAGCGGTTAACTTGAAAACTACTGCTTCACGACATCACAAGGTGGAACAGGGCATTTCGAGGTTTGGAAATGTAAACAGTAGCCAGGCTCATGCCACCTAGTGCCTCTGCTCAATTTCATTTCTCTCCAGCAACTAGGTCAGGAATCGGAATACATTAGACGGTTTGCAAGAACCCTGGAAGTTGTAGACCGCGCACTGGCCAATCAGCAAAGAGCTGTGAAGCCATGACGTCAAACTCAAGCGCCTGTCTGGGTCCCTTTTGTGGTTCACAACAGTAAACAAAGTATCAAGATGGATGTAGACAAAGCCATACATTCTGTGTTGGCAACGATTCCCGAGATCAAGGATTTAAAGCTGGAACAAAGAGAGTATTTGGTGAATTGTATCAAGGGGAAAGACGTTATTGCTAGGATTTGGTGCATTACATACGTCACAACCAAATAGCAGCGATTGGTTAAATAAGGCTATGTATACTAGAGACTCATATAATGCAATGATTACTCAAACCTGTGTAAATGAAACTAAATTAAATGAACAAAACACAACAACATGTGTAATCTGGGACTGTTAACATAATACAATAATAAAAGTGAATTTACCACATTCACACGTTCTTCACATTTTAGCCAATTATTTAAAATTGAAATAAATTTAATCTTGGTTCATAGGTAAGATACTGTATTGTGGAACAAAGCATACAATTTTTCATATGCCTCATTAACTTTAGCATTTTTTTTTTTCAAGCTTTGATTAAATCTTTACTTGATCCGGTGTCAGATTCACACTACGCCCGCAGTGTTTGCCTAAAGTGATCAGAGGAGCACAGAGGCTGACAGCTGAACATAACTCCTGATTTATCTGTGTGGCATGTTCCATAATAAACAGCGTGTGAAGAGAAATGTAAATGAGGTCTAACGTAATGCACTGTCACTGATCTGATGAAGACGAATGCTGCTGTCGTCTCATGTAACCCTCTGGAAACAATCTACACTAAACACATAGATATTGGTTAAGCTTGTCATTTTCTACGGAGGCTTTTGTACACTCGTTTAGCGACGGAAATACAGCGGAGGTTAATGATGTTTGCGCCTCACCTCGTAACATACTGGGGTTACCTGGCCAACCAGAACCGAACGCTCTGATAAAACTTTAGAGAGGTCTAGAGCCGAATCTTGTCGCACCGATTTCAAAAAGCGGGACTGACAGGCGGATTAACCAATCAGAAAGATGCATGGCCTAATCGTGTCAAAAACAAACAAGGTTCATTATACAGAAAAAAGACAACATAAAGGACTGAGAAACGCAACAACTCTCAACGGTTATCTCATGTAAATTAAGTTATACATTTTGTTCTGAATGGCGTCTTTTGTACGGAAGCCGAGAGGAGTCACAACAAATGCAAACACCGCAACAAATACAAATGCGACAACACAACAAAAAGCCACAACAAACCAAAAAAAGCCATAACGGAAATGATGTTTATTATGATGTTTATTAGCTATTGGTACTATAAAACAATGCATTTAAGCAAAGGATTTTGTGATTCGATATATTGTGACATCCCACGATATTTTTGTGAGACTTTTGACGATATGATATCACAATATTTCGGTTATTGTCACATCCCTACTTAAAAGTGCACTGTGTAACGTGTCTGCCAACTGTTTGTTTTATTTCCACTGAGATGTCTTTGTTTTGCTTGGCATTTTCTACAGCATGACATTAAACATATCCATTTCCAAAGAAGCAAGTGACGCTTCAAGGTCAAGTTACAGGTCAGATCTGTGAATTAGAGGTATTTTTGTACAGTAAAAATAGCTCTAATTCACTTAACTTAAGACAGATACGTTTTATAACATACTGTGGAACATTCCAGGCAAAGCAGGAACATTTCCATGGAGACAATTAGTTGGTGGGCCTTCTGCCTGAGAAGTTGCATGGGGCACTGTGGTGAATACCTCTGCCACCACTCCATAGTGTCAATATTATTTAATTTCAAGTTAAATACATTACACATAATTTAATTCCTTTATAATCCGTGTATCATTCGTTCATTCATTTTTCAATATAAAACAAAAAATAAGAAAACAAAAAAATAACAGTTTTCTTCATGATTTGCCTCCAAATCAAAATGAAAAAAAAAAACAGATAACGATTTGTTTTTTCAGTTTTCGATTTTGTGTTTAAATGAAAAATGGAAAAAACAGATAACAGACGTTTCCCGTTTATGTGATTTCCGTGACTGCGATGCTGAATTTTGCACGGACTGAAAACCAGGACTGATCCAGGTCTGGGACCAGACCGAGACTGAGATTAGAACTGAAACCAGGACCAGACCAAGACCAGAGCTGGACTGAGACCAAGACCAGACTGAGACCAGTCCGAGACTGAGATCAGAACTGAGATTGGGACCAGACCGAAACTGAGACCAGACCGGGACCAGAGTGGGACTGAGACTGAGACCAGACCAGGACTGAGATCAAGACTAGACTGGGACCAGACTGGGACCAGACCGGAGGCTCAGAGCCCACAGCAGGGCCGGAGCTCCAAGATGAGGCTCAGACCCTGCGGAGGCTTGGAGTCAAAGCTCGGAGTCCGCTGTGGTCCCGGACCTGGATCAGTCCTGGTTCAGTCCATTTGCAGTGCAAAAGTTCAGCATCACAGTCACGGACGTCACGTAAACGGGAAACAGTCGTTATCCGTTTTTTCCATTCTTCATTTAAACACAAAATCGAAAACTGAAAAAACAAATCATTATCTGTTTTTTTTATTTTGGTTTTGGAGACAAATAATGAAGAAAACAGTTGTTTTTTTCGTTTTCTTATTTTTGGTTTTATATTGAAAAACGAATGAACGAATGATACACGGATTCTTTATTTAGACTAATTTGAGTGCACACATTTTAGTTAATATAAGTCTGATTTACTTACACTTTTGGGTTTTTTTGGACCCTTGGACCCATCATGACTCAAAAGGGGGGAGGAAGCACTATTTAGTTAGTTTTATTAAGTTAGTTGTTTAGTTTGTGTTGAGGTCACTTTATAATCACTTATTATTTTGTGTATTATAATTATTTCCCTTCTTGTTACTTTGATTAAGTTAGCAGTTTATTATTTAGTGTAATTCCTCCCTCTTGTGTTTAGTTTTAGTTGGTCCTCAGGTATTTAAACACTGCTGTTCCTTTGTCTGGTTGGGTTAGTTTTGTTCGGTTCAGTTTGATTTTGAGTTACCCCAGTTGGGCCCAGCTTTTTTTGTTAATAATTTGAATAATTTGAGCCTTTGTTAAATTATATCTTCTATTTGGTCCACGACAGGCACCTTAAATTTAAATGCTTGCTATAATAGTGGACATCATTGTTCCTGTATAAACATGAACAATTTCCACACAAACTAGGCAATTTGAATCAATAAAACTGAAACTATAGGATTAAAATAATGGTTCTTACTGTGCACGTCGCCCCTCTGCTTGGTGACCTCCTTGTTGATGGTGTTGTCCACTGGCGTCACCGGGGCGGGAGGGGGTGGTATGAAGGGGCGTCTGGTGGGCGGCGGGGCGGGTCTGGGGGGTACGTAGGGCTTGCGTGTGGGCACAGAGGGCTTCCTGGTCGGGACTGGAGGCTTCCTTGTCGGTACGGCTGGTTTACGCGGTGGCGGAGTGACCCTCTTTGGTGGTGCTTTGGTCGTAGTCGAAGCAGTTGTAGTAGTAGAAGTAGTAGTAGTCGTAGTTGGCGTGGTAGTTCTGGGGATGAATACTCTCTTTTCCGTAACTGGGGATCTAACAGTTGTAGTGGCAGTGGGCCGGCGGAAATCAAAATCAGGTATGTGGTTGTGGTGGTGGTTCTTGCCTGGTCGAGGAGGTTCAATGGCCACTTTAGGAATGGCTGGAACGACAAGACAGAGACAAATTATAAGCACTTTAAAACAAATGAAGCTCTTAACAGTTATTATTTCTCCTTCTAGCGCTACTTCTTAGTTTCAAACGTTAAAGGGCCTATTACAGTTTGATAAACGGCGACGGCAGCTCAGTTGGTAGAGCGTTTGTCCACTGATCCGAAGGTTGGTGGTTTGAATCGCCCTCGACATAAACATCACAGGTTGAGCGGTTACATCCACTGACCCACAGGTTGTCTAGTGCGATTCCAGCTCCCGCAGATGTATGCTGTTGTTGTGTCCTTGGGCAAGACACTTAACCCGCCTCGCCCCCAGTGTCTGTGTACACTGGTGTATGAATGGGTGAGTGGTTTCTTGTTGTGAAAAGCTTAGAGTGCCTTGACGGTGGAAAAGCGCTGTATAAAAATGTGACCATAAAGATAAAGGCGGAATTATAGTTCTGCGTCGACCCAACGCACACTGCCTTGTCGCCTTGTCACCGTCATTTTTGGTTTATGGATCTGCGTCGAGGTCTGTGCGCCGCGAAGTAATTCACAAAAAACACAACGCTAGGAGGCTCGGATTTAGAAATGGCGTTCGTGTTTACAAAATGAAGCGGGAAAAGCGGCGTATTGGAGATGTGTGTAGAGCGCATGTAGAAAGGACCAATCACAGCCCTTATTGTCTGTGTCGCTTTCATTATTATCTGCTTTGGTTCAACACGTATTTACAAAATTTCTGTGGAAGGGGTTCAACACAGACAATTTGGCGCACAACCATACATTGGGCTTAAAGGTGGACTGTCTAATTTTTCTCACAAATGGTCCACCATCAGCTTGTCTCCATGGTGATGTTATAGCTTTGCCTGGGATGTCCCACAGTATGGTATTAAAGGTGCACAACGTAACTTTTTGGTTGGGGGTCTGTCACCTGCTTGTTTCTATGGATTTGTCACTGCGCTGCCTGGAATGTTCCACAGTGTGACATGAAACAGTTCTACCTTACTCTTTATATTTTTCAATTATAGGTGGTTTTATAGCTCAAAAACCTAAAAATAGAGGCATTCTGACTGTGAGCGGGGTCGCCTCTCCACAGACCTGACCTGTGACTTGGTCTGGTTTGGTCTCCATGAAGATAGAAAGGTTTAATGCCGTACTGTGTTGAATTACAGGTGTTTTTATTTCTCAAAACTACAGCAAAAACATGCATTATTACTGTGAACAGGTTCACCTCTCCCTAGATCTGACCTGTAACTCGGTCTGGTGATGTGGCCTGTTTGTCTCCGTGGAGATAGTTAAATGAAATGCCTTACTGTGGAACATTCTAGGAGTTAAGCAGGTGATGGACCCTCTACTAGAAAAGTTACACAATGCACCTTTAAGAAAAATAATAAAATAACAAAAGCTATTGTCAAAAATGCTACTATGTGAAAACAAAGGGAGAGAAGTCCCAAAACAGCTCCTGAATTTAAAAAAAAAAAGGTAAAAGGTTTATCTTATCTTATCTACATACAACCAAAAACGTGGCTTCAATGTGCAGCTAATTATAATTTGAGTTTTGTCCTTTTTCCTGAGATCTAAAGTCTCATTTCTTATTCTCTTTCATCTGCAGTATTGCCTTATATGTATTTGGAACCTGAGACAAGAATCTTGTTTTCCATTGCACAGCAGATCTAAGCAGCATTTTTGTTTTGTAATAAATTTTAAAGTTCCTATATTTAACAAAATGAATCACGTGAGCTTTAATTTATGTTATAACGTTATTACCTCATCAAAAACATACCTCGAGTTGTGTTCTGATTCATTCACACATGTTTTTATTATTTTGTCAACATCTCCAAAGCTCAAAATGCTCTGTTCCACGTTGTGATGTCATGTTTTTAAGGTAACAGCTACGGCAATCGTCCAAAAGATTTTAGTGAAGGTGTATGGAGTTTAAAAACACATTGGAGTACTTCCTGTGTAACTAAATGATGTCAAGGTGGACAAGAATATTTTCCGTTTGAGACAAGAACTTTAAACTAAATCTGCAGGGTTTTTGTGTTAAAAATGTGTGAATGAAACGAAACACAACTCCAGGTCTGTTTGTGATGAGGAAACAACATTATAACAGACAGTGTTGGGGAGTAACAGATTACATGTACTGGAGTTACGTAATCAGAGTACAAATTATGAGTAACTGTATTCAGTTACACTTACTGTTTCAGTGAGTGGTAATTGGATTACAGTTACTTTGTTGAAATAAATAGATTACATGGAGGTATTTTCCTATTTTCACATTTCCGGCTAAATCAGGACTAAAACCAGGACTAAACCAGAACTAAACCAGGACTAAACCAGAACTAAATCAGGACTAAACCCAGACTAAACCAGGACTAAACCAGAACTAAATCAGGACTAAACCAGGACTAAATCAGGACTAAACCAGGACTAAATCCAGGACTAAAACCAGAACTAAAACCAGGACTAAAACCAGGACTAAACCAGAACTAAACCAGGACTAAACTAGGATTAAAACAGGACTAAACCAGGAGTAAACCAGGTCTAAACCAGGTCTAAACTAGGACTAAAACCAGGACTAAACCAGGCCTAAACCAGGACTAAACCAGACTAAACCAGAACTAAACCACTAAACCAAACTAAAAATCAGGACTAAACCAGGACTAAAACAGGACTAAACCAGAACTAAAACCAGGACTAAAACCAGGACTAAACCAGGACTAAACCAGGACTAAAACCAGAACTAAAACCAGGACTAAACCAGAACTAAACCACGACTAAACTAGGATTAAAACAGGACTAAACCAGGAGTAAACCAGGTCTAAACCAGGTCTAAACCAGGTCTAAACTAGGACTAAAACCAGGACTAAACCAGGCCTAAACCAGGACTAAACTAGGACTAAAAACAGAACTAAAACCAGGACTAAACCAGAACTAAAGTAGGATTAAAACAGGACTAAACCAGCAGTAAACCAGGTCTAAACTAGGACTAAAACCAGGACCAAAACAGGATTTAACAGGATTTAACCATGCTGTGCAGACTGTGTCTCCTCCTCTTCTATCAATAATATTTTTATTTGGTTAAGTCAAGTCTGGGCTTTTCATTTTCTTTTAGCAAACAAAACTTCTTATGTTACGATATACTAGTCTTTTTTTCTCTACAGCAAACCAAGTAATCCAAAGTAATCAGATTACGTTACTCACTTTAAGTAATTGAATGGATTACGTTAAAAACTACATTTTGGTGTGTGTAATCTGTAATCTGTAGGGGAATACATTTTAAAAGTAACCTTCCCAACACCGATAACAGATCAGAAAATAGTGGATTACGAGTCCTTTAACATCATAAAATATAACCATAAATCAATCCATATTTTACATTCATACACTGGCCAAATTTCACTTTTCCTTTCCACAATTTTTCCATTACTCTCATAAAATCATGTCTCTACTATTTGTTTCATAACATATTCATAGATTTGCTCCTGAATTCCCTAAATATCAATTATCAGATTACACAGATCAATGTTTTTGCTTGATACCTCTAATAATTTCCTCTCTAAAGTAAAACCTTTGCATTAGTATTTCAAGTTTTATTCAACCTGAAATATGCACGTATGCCTGTTTGCTGCCTCCTGCTAAAAATAGTGGGCAATGTTGAACCAGGTTAGTTGGAGCATATTGGGTAAATAACCAGATCCATATTAGGAAAGATGGATTATGCAGGATTGACATTCACACGGACTGGTCGAGGAATCTATTTTGGGAAGTTTTCTTGCGAGCTGCCGGTGAAACCAACCAACTGCCTGATGAAGTACAGGTTCATTTGGGTTTATAGACAGTGTTACTTTTAAAATGTATTCAGATTACACACACCAAAATGTAGTTTGTAACGCAATCCATTAAATTACTTAAAGTGAGTAACGTAATCTGAATACTTTGGATTACTTTGTATTGTCATGCGTTTAAAAACTACATGAATGTAGCGACCACATCCTGAAAATTCTTGTTTGTTCTCTTCAAATTGTCCGTTGAGCCAAAGTCTCCATGAACAGACTTTTGTTTACTGTAGAGAAGCAAAAACGAGGATCTTAACAAAAGATGTTTTATCTGCTAAAAGAAAATAAAAAGTCCAGACTTTCCTTAACCAGATTAAAAATATTATTGATAGAGAAATGATTTTTATATGAGATCACTGCTGCTTTAAAGTTTGTCCACCTACTGTTAGGTGTCATACTGTTTAGTCCTGGTTTAGACCTGGTTTAGACCTGGTTTAGACCTGGTTCAGTCCTGGTTTAGACCTGGTTTAGACCTGGTTTAGTCCTGGTTTAGTCCTGGTTTTAGTCCTGGTTTTAGTCCTGGTTTAGTCCTGGTTTAGTCCTGGTTTAGACCTGGTTTAGTCCTGGTTTAGACCTGGTTTTAGTCCTGGTTTAGACCTGGTTTAGTCCTGGTTTTAGTCCTGATTTAGTCCTGGTTTAGTCCTGGTTTTAGTCCTGGTTTAGTCCTGGTTTTTAGTCCTGGTTTTAGTCCTGGTTTAGTCCTGGTTTAGTCCTGGTTTTAGTCCTGGTTTAGTCCTAGTTTTAGTCCTGGTTTGACCTGGTTTAGACCTGGTTTAGACCTAGTTTAGTCCTGGTTTAGACCTGATTTAATTCTGGTTTAGACCTGGTTTAGACCTGGTTTAGTCCTGGTTTAGTCCTGGTTTAGTCCTGGTTTAGTTCTGGTTTAGTCCTGGTTTTAGTCCTGATTTAGACCTGGTTTAGTCCTGGTTTTAGTAATGTTTTAGACCTGGTTTAGTCCTGGTTTAGACCTGGTTTAGTCCTGGTTTTAGTCCTGGTTTAGTCCTGGTTTAATTCTGGTTTAGACCTGGTTTAGTCCTGGTTTAGACCTGGTTTAGTCCTGGTTTTAGTAATGTTTTAGACCTGGTTTAGTCCTGGTTTAGACCTGGTTTAGTCCTGGTTTAGCCCAAAATGTGAAAACAGGAAAATACCTCCATGTAATCCATTTATTTCAAC